CTAATTGATCTTGAGAGAAAATAAACCACATGGTTTTGAAGCTCCTATTTTTGTAAAAAAATCCTTCATAGAGATTACCTTACCATTTCAAAAGAAGAAATGATATTCATAATGGATTCAAAAAGAAAATTAGGGTTTTAAAAATTACCATCTTCATTATCAAACACAACATAAATAATATCATGTTATCTCTAAAGACCAAAATGATATTTTTTAATGGCTTTCAAAGAAAAAATTAGAGTTTTGAAAAATATCCTTGATCCAAAAGTTATTTATCGTATCTTAGGCATAAGATAAGGTTTTATTTAATAAGGAGTTATAGGTTCTCAATAAAGGCAAACTCTAATGGTCAATTATAACTCAAGATATGCTAATCTCCTCAGAAGACCCTCACTTAAATTATTGTAAAATATTTCTAAGATTTTAACATTCAAGACAAGGATTAAATTTTGGATTTAAAGGAGATTGGTTTAAAAGTTAAGTAGTTCATTCTAGAGGTCAAAGGATGGAAAGTAAGGAGCACTAGGATTCTAAGAAGCTCGGAAGTAGCTCCAGCCTATCTTATATCGAGCTTTATAATTTTGATATTAAAGTATATTATTTAAGTTGATATTTTATTAAAATTTTAAGACTTACATTCATAATCAAAAGATTAAAATAATATCCAGCAAGTCAGGATTTATGATATAAAAATATATGTCGAATCCTGGAACTAAAATGAACACCATAATTTAGTAGAGCTCGAACCTAGTCTAACAAGATGTAATAGTAAGGTGGAGTTTATATCTTTAACTCCATAAAGAGTTTAGGAAAGCACAATCCTTCTAGAATTACAACCTAACCTAGAGTGGAAAGCTAGCAAAACCCACTTAAATGATTTAAAATCATTTAGTTAGCCTTATGAAATGCAAGACAGGGTAAGGTGTTGTTTAATTAAGAATTTGGGACTAACATATAGAAATCCTCAAAATGGTCTCATCCTTATGAATGGTTCTAATGTTTTTACTTTAAATGTAATTAGACTTATTTTTGTAGTTGGTTATTAATGCAAATTATGATAATTATATAAAAAAATTATTAAAATTTTGAAATTTTTAAAAAGTTCACTATTTTCTAAGCCGTCTAAGTATAGAAATTTGGTTATATCACTTCAATATTTGACTATAACATAGCCGAATTTTTCCTTTGTTGTCAATCATGTATGTCAACATATGCATGCCTCGCAAAATCAACATTATACTATGTTGAAGCGCATTCTATATTTTCTTAAGGGCACATTGCACCTTGGTCTATATGTAACGAAAGGCTCCTTATCCTTACAAGCATTAGTTGCGCCGACTGGGAAAGTGATTCTCGATCAATATCGCAAATCTACAATAGGATATTGTATCTTTTTGGGCTCAACTCTTATTCCATGGGCTACCAAAAAGCATGCTACCATCCCAAGATCTTCTAATGAGGCTGAATATCATGCTCTCACAATAGTAGTAATTTACATATCTAGCTTCGTCGGCTACTTCTAAAATTTCAAATCGCTCTACCACATCCCACACCTATATATTGTGATAATATATCAATCATTGCTTTATCTTATAATAATATTTTTCATGCAATAATAAAGCATATAGACAATGATTTATTTTTTTTGAGCAGATTCATTTCATGCACTCAGCGCTAACAATGAGTTTGCTGAAAGATGATAAAAAATATGCATATCTCGATGATGATAAAGACTTTCGTTTGGGATTTTTTTTTTATTGTTATTTAAAGCAGTTTTTTATTATAAAAATTTTAATTTTTTACTAAAAAACAGCTTTAAGAAACAATAAAAAAGTCGTCCCAAATAAAGCCAAAGACTCTCCTGGGTTTAATGGTCGAATCAAATGCAGCAATAGGATGAATCAGACATTTGAATTACAATAAACTGCAAGAATGTAGCAGGTGAGACTTCCAGCTGTTGGCAATTTGCTTGAAAGCAACATACTCACCTGCTACTGCAAATAAAATAATTCAAATAGCAGTTTAAGAAAATTGTAAGAAGTAAACAAATGATGAACTTTATGAAGTTAATTTTATTTTAACATGCTTAAGAAAAAAATTAATCAAAATAAATTATTTTATTGGGTTGAAGAGAAATTTTAAAGGTATTTATATACATATAATTAAATTCTTATATGTTTGCATGTCTCATATCTAAATATTTATTTTATTTTTTATATAAAACTCAAATTTTGAAATCATATTAAAATATCAGTAAAATTAAATTATGCAAGCTAAAATATATTTTTTCATCTATATACTTTAATATGATTTACATGTTAAATAATATATACATATAAAGATTCAGAATTATATATATATATATATATATGCATAAAAATGTTATTGTACGTACATAAATCTCCAATTTTCTCATTCAAAATTTTAATTATGTTTTTCTTTTTATTTTTCTATTGAAGTGGTTATTAGTTATAAAAAAACAAACAATCAAAATTTTAAATTAATTTTATTAGTTATACTAAGCACCAAATATAAAAAGCAAATGAAACCAAATGAAACCTTCCAAACTATTGTTTGTCATTTTCTCAAACATTTGGTGAGTTGTCTCTATGCAAATATTTGCATGCTTCAACACCAATTGAGCTGGATACCCACTGCGATTGCTTTAACGGAAGGTAAGAAACTAAGAACATACACAAAGACTTAAGCTTCATTTGGGGCGGCTACCTTAATATTTTTTAAAGTAATTTTTTAGTACAAAATTTTCTTAATAAGAAATTTGTATAATTCGATCTATAAATTTTTCTACTATAAACTTGTTTTAAAAAGAAGTAGAAAAGCCGTCCCAAACAAAGACTTAGGCTTCATTTGGAACAACTACTTTGCTGTTTTAAAAAAACGGCTTTTTAGTAAAAAAATTTCTTGAGTTAAAAATTTTTGCACAAAAAAGCTGTCCCAAAGGAAGCCTAAGGTTTTGTTTGTGACATCTTTTTACAATTTTATAAAGTAGTTTCTTAATAAAAATTTTTTGAATTTGAAATTTTTGTACTAGAAAGCTACTTTATAAAACAATTAAAAAACTGCCCCAAATGAAATCTTAAAGTTCGTTTGGGATGACATTCTTACTACTTCTTAAAGCAGCATTTTAGTATAAAAATTTTAAGTTCAAGAAATTTTTTTAGTAAAAAGTTGCTTTAAAAAGTAGTAAGATAACTATCCAAATGAAACCTTAGGGTCTCTTTGGTTAAATAAACACTACACTGCTCTTTTTTCTAATTGCATACTTCTAATTTTTGTATGTTGTCACGGAAATCTCGTCCAATCTCTGATCTAGCCAGGTATAAATTGCTGTAGACAACGTTGCTTCATCGATACGTCAAAACTATTTTCTTTGTTCGATCTCATAACTCTTCTGATCATAATAGAGAATCAAATTCTTGTTTTATGCCCACCCTTAATTTTATAGAGGTTTAATGTAAGGAATGGGACTAACTGTTTCAATAACATCTAAACCAACATCATTTGGCTGTGAGACAATAAAACAAAAGGTAGTAATAATGATTGATGGCAATTGGCAGCAGATGATGCACGTCAAATGAAGATGGATATAGCTGTTGAACTCTCCGAGTTTAAAAATTCTCTTCTCTAATCTTTTTTGTAAGAAAATCAAGACATTTCATTAATCAAACACTTGATGTTGATCAGTATCGATCATTAGATAGGTTTTTAGAGTTTACAATACCTAAATTATGTCAAATTTTGATAATCTTGAGCTTTTTTAGATTTTTCTCACCAAGACAATCACTTTAAATACAATCATGTAAGATTCAAAGATATTTAGGATTCGTTTGGGACGGCTTTCTTACTGCTTCTTAAAACAACTTTCTAATGCAGAAGTTAAAATTTTTGTACTCAAAAGTTGCTTTAAGAAGCAATAAAAAAGCCTCCAAATAACTTTTCAAAATTTTCAACCATATTACTTCAAGAAGATTGTTTTATGTTTATTTGGATTGAGGATACATAGCACTCATTACCTTATTATGCAATTCCATCTTCTTTTGTATAACAAAGAAGAGCAGCTCATTATGACTCTTAGCCTTCATTTGGGACGAATTTTTTTATTACCATATAAAACATATTTCGAATAAAAAAAAATTTAAATTATAATTTTTTATGCTAAAAAAGTGCTTTATAAAACAATAAAAAAGTCATCCCAAACAAAACTTTAATCTACATAGTAAAACTATTTTAGTTGAATTAATACCCCAGTTATTTTTATCCTTTGAGAATTTTCCACATAAAAGAAACTGTACAACAATTTCATGTACAGCTAAAAGACGGTAGGCTAAACAGATGTGTCAAAATAGATTTGTTGGGAATATGGCTGTCATCAGTTTACAAGGCTTTTTGGGTTAAAGAAATGACTATATTGACTTAAGCAAATCTAACATTGAATTTTCCATTTTCCTTAGATCAAATTACAATAGTTTTTTGAATATTTGTGATTCAGATTCAGATTCATCATCATCGACAAGGATCACACTGATCAAATAATTACAAAAAGCAATCAAAGTTAAACCTATCTTTGTTGCAGCACAGGAACCCATTACAAGCGAGGAACAATTACATGGAGAATGAGATCAACCAAGAAAACTCCCACTCTCTCCAACAATCTCGCTCTTGGCCAAACCTCTTAACCACAACCCTAGCCACCTGGTTCTTGCCCAATCTCCATCACCAAAAATCTTAATCCCTACTAGCCGTTGCCCCCCCCTCCCAAAAACAAAAATAAGGCTTCGTTTGAGACAACTTTATTATTGCTTTTAAAACAATTTTATAGTATTAAAATTTTTTAATTCGAAAAATTTTTGTAATAAAAAATTGTTTTAGAAAGCAGAAAGAAAGTTGTCCCAAACGAGGTCTAAATTTAACCAACCCTGTCCACTGTCCAATTCTTGGAGCTTCACGATGTCTCACAAAGACTGAAAATCAATGCTGACTGAGAGATAAAAAGCATTCATTTATGTGAAAATGTCAATTTGGTTTCTGTGCAGTGATAATGATTCAAATACAAAGAAGCTAAAAACTGCTGAATGAGGTGAAATAAAGTCGAAATAGTCAAAATATTCATAAGAAGATTTGCATCTTGTTAGGAAAAATTAAATTAAATATATCAAATTAAAAGGAACGGTTTTAACAGTAAATGCTTGGATCTCTCTGCCGATGCCAGTTTTCTGGTAAATTTATGAAGAATAAATAGGCTCAGGCTCAAGCACCCTGCAAAGGAGCTACTATTGATGGCCAATCTCTACGGATGTCAAAAGTGTAGTTAATCTCCAAGTAGCATTTCTCATCATCGTCAATGAACTGACACAAAATAAAGTTATTCTTAAATTTGGCAAAAATAAATAAATGATAGTGTAGTGTTAAGAGCATATTTCTGAGCTGTTTATTAACTAAAGACACCCACTCATGCAATGCACCACAAAGAGCACAAAACACTATTTATTATGGCTTTGTTTGTTGGTTTGAAGGAATTGAAAGAGAAGAAATGAATTCTCTCTCAACTGTTACCAATCTAGTCACTAAATATACATGTCCCAATTGAATTTCTCAATACAGAAAACAGTGGCAAATGAGTAAATGAAACGCATGGTCCAAACAAATACTCTATTATTATTATACACCTAGTAAAGACAATAGATAGATGATCTTCTTTTGATGATCTCAAATATATTATTGGGGGTAATAATATTTTAATTAACTATTAAGATTGATAAGATGCAATTATCACAAGGGTGAAAATGAATAAAATGAAGGACATGATCTGGAGACCATAAAAAGCTATGAAGACATACTCAAGATAAAGATTAAAAATCTTGTATTAAGTTTTCATTTGGGGCGGCTTTCTTACTGCTTCTTAAAGCAGCTTTCTAGTAGAAAAAAATTTATTTTTTTTACTAAAAAGCTGCTTTAAGCAATAAGAAAGCCATCCCAAACGAAGCCTAAGTATTTTAGTTTTGTAATTTTTCTTTTAAACTTATTTTTTAAGATTATGTAATTACACATTGTCATAATTCATGGCTCATTATGAAACTTGTTCTTAGGAAACCTCCAAAATAAATTTGGAATCTTATGTTAGTCTTATAGCCTTCTGTTGACAACTGTAAGCTGTAGTTTTATTTTAGACTCCTGGAATATCAAACAAATGATCTTGATAGTGCATATGATTTATGAATCACATATAGCTGGGAAATTATACATATGATGGTACATATATTTTTTGACAACTATGAACCATTGGGGGAAAGCTATACACGCTCATTTTAGTAATAATTATAACCACCAAAGTCGATTTGATGCACCATTTATCAAGATAATCAAAATTGCATCATACATATGGCTGTTAAATCACACTTATGATCAGAACAAATTTCCTATAATTTTCACCTAATATTGTACATATAATTGGCAAGAACTTGAGTTTAACATTTGACTTGCCATTTTTTTTTTGGAATTTGATTTTAATAGGAACCACAAAGAGACTTACCCCTTTCCATAACCATTAGTTAGTGAGAAAATTTCCCTGTTATTTTTCATTCACCATATTCAAAACTTCCTTTCTTCAGCTTATTTGCCTTCCAGCCATATTTTAGAGCAAAGAAAGAGAAAGAGCAGTCATAGTAAGATCATTTGTGCAAGATGATGTGGAGGAATAAATCATTATTCAATGACCAAAGCATTGTAAGAAAGTTATTTTTTATTTATAATTTTGGATTTTTGGCTTTAGATTTTTGTTTTGGAAGGCTCCATTGTTTTTGTTTTCATTATAATTTTTGTAATTATTAAAATTCATTTACATTGTAATTGTTGTACTAGATAGTACTCACCCGTAAAGTGAGTGATACGGTGTGAAAATTTTCCATCGACTTGAGAAGTGAAGAGGTTTGGATTGCACTTACAAGTTGCTAGCAAAATCATAATTTGGATGCTGAATAAAAATGGATATCAACCAATTGGGTTTGAACCACATAAAATTATTTGAGTTATTTTCTTAAACATTTATTTGCATGTGATTGCAATTTTACTGTATTTCTATTAGATTTCATTTCATCTAAATTTTAAAGAAATCAATTCGCCCACTAGTGTGTCATAACCCTTCAATTAATATCAGATCGAACTTAGGATCGATATTTAGTTTAGCCACCAAGAGTTAATCCACATAACACAACTTTCTTTGATCCTCCTCACACAAATCACTATTTGTAGATAACATAACTTTTAATTATTGAAAGAATAGAATAAGTAAATTTCTTAGAGAATAGGGTACTTTTCTATTTAATATGCATACTTTTGAATATAAGCCTTCAATTAAGTTTGTTGATGGTTTTAAGACCAAGAAATCATTTTTGGAATGTATTCAATCCATCATAGATTTGGGGACAAGCTTAATCCAAGGCTATAAGTAATTTGTATTGTGCATTAAAATCAGATAACATGAGATTCTCTAAGATGGAGTCAGCCAAAGTCATTTGAGATAAGTTAATCATTGCATAAAAAGGGATCAATGTGGCTCATGTTTCAGACATAAATTAGTCACTACATTTGTTTGATTAATTTCATATGAGAAGTAGTGAATATATTTCAGATATGCATATAATATCTATGAAAATTGCAAATTCTTTACAACCCACCCATCAGTAGTACAGAGGAATGTAGATGCATTTCATAATATGGAATGATGTTTGCCAAAGTAGTGGGATCTGAAAGTAAAAGCTACTATTAAATTAAAGGACTTTATATGTATGTATGTATGCATGTACTTCATTAATTGATTGGTTCTTTGATAGTGCATGAGCAGTAATAGCGATATGAGAAAATGAAAAGCCATTCCACAAGAAAAGGAAGGCAAGGGTATGATGTTTCATGTTTATGAATCCAGAGGACAAGATGGTTATGATCTCTAATTATTAAATTATCAAGGATAACACTTAAGGAAAAAATAGCAAAGTTACGAAATTCAAATCTTTAACGCATAAGAAAAAAAGCCCTTGGTGGGAGAAAAATAAAGTTAAAATGTTTAAAAGTGTAAAAATTTGAGACGCATATAATGAGATTGCCTAGATGTCGTAGAAGGCCATAAGGAGAAGGAGAAAAAAGAAAGAAAATGAGTAAAAATGTAAGAAGAAAAAAAAAACCGTGGACAAACTTTGGGAGCAAATCAAGTTCACCATCAATTGAAAAGTAGGCGTCAAAACATTGCCCATTGGTTAGAGAAGAAAGCAACATGTGCTTTAGATATTTTTTTTATGAAGAGTTTGATAATGCTTTCAATGTTATCAATTAAAAAAATATAAGAAGCTTAAGAAAAAATCTTTATGTAAAATGAACAAAAAATTTTAGATAGAAATTTTTATAATTTGGAAGAATGTGATAGTTTGAAATAGAAAAAAAAATTATTTGCATGACTGCTCTTTACTTGCATTAAAATTTGAAAACGAAAACTTTTAATAAAAGCAAAGCCTAAATTTGTTTTGAAATTACATGCAAGCACAAATACTCCACATTGAGGAAAGCATGCTAAGAATCATACATCATTCACAATCACATCAATCCAATCACCAAACTTGGATTTTTGTTATTCAAAAAGAAATTTTTGGTGCAATTATCCTGTGTTAGACATGAACAAATATCATAATTGAAAATAACATCAAAGAATAAATTATTGGCCTAGGAATTATTAGCAAGAATTACACAATCATTGATAAAATCCTCATAGTTAACGTTCTAAAGTATAGTCTAACTAGCATTAGTTAATTACGTGATAGAGATTATGAAGATAAATTTGATTCATCACTTTATTTAGTTAGAAATAATGGCATGTTAATATTGTTGATCATAGTTATAATATCATCGTATGGCTAATATAGACAAAAAATGTTATACTTATTTGCTTAATACTTAGCATAAATGATGCTAGTCTTTGGCAAGAGGCTATGTTATAAAAGTATGCACACTAAAAAAAATATTTCTAAATCAGATCTTATTGGTTGATCAAATATTGATTGTCATTTTGCTCATTTATGTGATACTTGTGTACATGTGGGGGCTCCGAAAATTCACACCCCGACCTACCCGTTGCTTTTCAGGGGAGTTTTAACGGGTTAAGTTCCAAGGTAAATTTTGGAAAGGCAGATTAGGTTTGTAGAAAAGACACTACCTAGAGATTTAGCACTCATTTTGAAAGGACTTTATGATCTGAGTTCTTGTTTCCTATAGGCACAATCCCCTATAGTTAATTACCCCTCCCAATAAAGAGAGAGAACTTTCGATTAAGGCTAGTCTTCAATCAGATACGTAGTATCCTTCATATAGTAACAGTAGGGGTTAGATGTTTAGTAATTTGATATTTAAAATTGGAAATGCATCATCTTGCACTTAAAGTAGATAGTGGGGGAATGGATGATGGGTCCGATCAAGATCCCATGGTTCCATCATCCCGGGCCATTGTGGTCTCTGGTCTACTTAGTCAGAGAAGGTAGTCAACCCAACCTGACAGAAGGATCCTTGTCGGTAGCCATGGGTTGCTTTGTCCAAGGGTACCTTGTAGACCAGGGATGGATGTCTATCTAAGGGGACAAATTTGAATACACATTGGCTAACAAAGGTCTTTGTGTCCTATTGATTTATATATCAAAGATTTGATGCCACTAGAGAGCATACAGGCTCTAGCCATGACCGTAATTTAGTGATGACATTTGACGACAAAATCACCTAGTTCAGAGGGCCCCGATCATAACCATTTACATGTGATGCCATTTGGCGACAAAATTACTGGTTAGAGAACATGTGCCACGTCCTTACTGACCGGAGGTTATTTGAGAATGAATCATAGAGATATTCTCGACCACACATTAGCTCTTTGTGAGCTAAAGTTATTTTCAATTCGTCCACCCGGCAAACTATTGCGTGGGGTTGATGGATTTTACTTTAAGCATTTAATGGTTTATTTTAAATTTTAAATATTTCAAATTTTGATATTTTTGGAAATTTGAGTTTTCATGAGTATTTGGGTGAAATTTTGAGTATTTGAAATTAACCCCTTTGGTAGAGATCTACTTTCAACATGGCTATAATCAGGTGATTTTGAAATCACTTCAAATGTTCATATTTTTATAAGTTTGGGAGGCATTTGAATATTTAGAATTGACCTCTCCGATTTAGATCTACGTTCAACATGGTCATCATTGGGGTATTTATAGGGAATTGCTCTTTGTCTGTTGAATCTTGTCGATTTTGTATGCTTGCCGATAGAGGATTGGGTTTGTCGTTAGCTTTATATTTTTGTTAATGGATTTTTTTTGTTA